TTGGGCCAGGGCATCCAACTTCTTTTTCCCTTCATAACATCAGCAATCATCTTTTCTTGCCCCGCAAATTCATCCACGCACTTTTTGCAAACCCCGTTTTTTAAAGTTTTTCTTCTTCTCTTTTTCTCTTTAAATAAATATATATATAAATCCGGGGATGGGAAGTACAGTGCCTGCACCTGAAGGGGGGGGTGTTAATGGGTTTCAGTTTAAAAAATGTAAAAGGGAAAACCCCTTTTGGCAAGACATGTGGAGTGAAAGATGGGAAAGTTTTTCTTTTTCGGGCCACCCTGGGCCCTTTGGGGGGAAACGGCCAGGTGGGGATAAAAAAATAAAAAAAATATATATATTATTTTTTATTTATTTATTTATTTATTTATTTATTTATTTTTCTTATACTGCGGGGCCCTCACCTCGAGAGAAGAATAAACATTTTTTCAAAGGGGAAACCCAGATTCTTTTCCCCGAATCATTTTAAATATTTTTTTTTTTACCGCCCCCTATAATTTTATTTCCCCTGAGGACTTTATTTAAAAGACAAAGTACATCAACCCCCAAAAACAAAAGGGATTTTAAACAACATAAATAACATACAAAACCACACCTCGAATAAAGCCTCTTCTTTACTTTTACAATGGATTCCGTTTCCCCCAAAACCCCGTCAAAAAAGAATTCGTCCCCTAAGTGAGGGGGGGTATTTTAATTGGAGTGGATTTTGTCAACGTTTTTGTTAAAAGCACCTTTGCACCATTTAAACATTTTCGGTATAGGTTTTTTTAAAAGTTTATACAGTATGTACTTTATATTGTTTAAAAAATGAACAGAGGAAATCAGCCCTAATATACATTAAAATAGGGATGCATACTGGTCAGAGAGCCTGTCGTAAATCTTTAGTCTTCGGTAAACAGTAAGTCCCCTAAGTGGGGGAAAGGGTGTACTTCACCCAGCCCCCCGGCAGTGGGGGTGCATGCTCAGATTGCTGCAAAAGGGATTTTCCCTCGAAAACGTAAAAATTGAGTTTTCTGAAAGAGGAAGCGGGGCCACTCTGGGGTCCTTGGGTTTTTTTGATGATTTTTTACCCAGCTCCCCTGAAGAAATTTAGAGCACACTTGCCCCATGCTCCAAGGGCTCCGATTTTTGGGATGAAGTTATAGCAAGGGGGGGGGTCTTTTATATTTTTTGGATCTTCTGGGGCTTCCTGTAATTGGGGGGCTCCACCCCTTTTAGCTTCAAGTATGGCAATAGGGTCCACCAACGTGGGAGCCCCAGATGTACTCCCAGGCAATCTTCTTATCATCCTACCCGGGGAGCATTGGGGACCTTTCCCTTTGGATGGGTTTTGGGCTTTTGTCAGACCTCAAATATTTTGGGGTTTTTGTTGAGCTGGGCAATGGGGGTTTGGGGAGACTTCTCTTTAGATGTCGTTGACCTCACGCTATGTACCCCTTTCCCCTTTTGAAATAAAGAATTGGGTCAAAACCCAGGCCTGGGCCTAAATACACCAAGTTTGGTGAGTATGGGGGTGGGTAGGGGTAGAACAACAGTAATCCGAATGGCCGTGGGGCGAGTCGAGTGCCCAGGGAGGAATTTGGGGAAAAGCAAAAGGAAATCTCGTAAAGTGTCCCTTTAAACCCCCAGGAACGAGCTTTGTCCCCTTTTCCCGAAGCATTGGGTTTAGCAAAAGTGGGTTTAAGGGAAATTTTTTTTCCCTGAAACGGGTTTCCCCCTTTAAGCTGTTTGGGGCTTTTGGGAGGAAAGGTTATTGGGGGTCCGCAAGGATGTCCCCCTGCATGGCTGCTTTAATGAACCTGGGGTTTTGAACCCCCTACCAAACCCTCAAACATTTGGGGACCCCTTGACTAGTCCCCTGGAAGCCTACACGAGGGCAGAAAGGCAGGTAAAGCTGCCGGTGTTCCCCTTTCGCACCCCTAAATCCCTTTCCTTTTGCACAGAAGAATTGCTTGATCCCCTTGCGAAATTCCACTTAAAGACACACCACATAAAAGTGTGTGTGTGTGTTTTGTGTGGGGGTGTGTGTGTGTGCATGGTGTGTACTACCCCATTTTGTGGGTTTCAGGGGCCGAGTCATAGCTCCTGGCCCCGCCTCTTCGCCCGATTGCAAATAGCTCTTCTCTCCCCTGCTCCATGACTTTATCATACCTCGCCTTAAAACTATGTATGGGTTCCCCCCCCTCCACTACGTACTTTCTAGGGTATTCCAAAGGCCCCGACTAAAATAAAACTGAAGAAATACTTCCCCCAACATCCCTTTTTTTTTTCATCGAGTCTTCAAAATTCCCAAAAATGACCTCTTGTTTCTTTGTTCCCCCCTCTGGAACCCTCCCCCCTCTTTTTTCCACCTTGTCTATTTTCCCCTGCAGTATTTTATAAATCCCTTATCATGTCTCTAGACCCTCCTGTCCTCCTTTTCTTTAGGCCGATTTCCCTCAAGCTTTCTTTAAAAGACAATCCCCTTACCCTGGGGGTATCTTGCTGCAAAAAACCTTTTTTCACTTTCCTAAAATTTTGACTTGCTTTTACCAGGTGTGGATTCCAAACTGGTGCTGCATACTCCAGTATGGGCCTGACGTAAATGGTATACAGACTCTTGAACGATTCCTTACTGAGGTATCGGAACGCTATCCGCAGGTTTGCCAGACGGCCGTATGCTGCAGCAGTTATCTGATTGATGTGCGCCTCAGTGTGTGTGTGTGTGTGTGTGTGTGTGTGTGTGTGTGTGTGGGTGTGTGTGTGTGCGTGTGTGTGTGTGTGTGTGTGTGTGTGTGTGTGTGTGTGTGTGTGTGTGTGCGTGTGTGTGTATGTATGTGTACATTTATAGTGACTAGGAGAGTGAGAACTTTGAAAAAAGCAGATCCTGTTTCACTAAAGTCTGAATAACAATGGTTGTAAATGACCATAATTTTTAAAGGGGTGGACCGGTAAGCCAGCGGAAGGCCTCGGTCAGATGACCAAAAGCTCCAAAGGCGGGTCATCATCTGACTAAGACCCGCGTCAGGAAACATTTGTCCTGTTTCCTGACGAACCTTACCTAACCTAACCTAACTAAAGTCTGGCCACTCCTGACACAGTTTCTCCTGACGAAATTTATACTTTGCTCTGCATTACGTGTGCTGGGGTTATACACACCAAGAAGTTAATTAGTTACCAGTTGATAAAGACAATTGACAGTAGACACTTGGACTTCTCTCTCCTTTTTTGTGTGTACTCGCATAACTGACCTGTATGTCTCTCATTTTAATCCTATTTTAGGAATTATAATATGCTTGACTTGTGGTGAAGTGGTTACATGCAGCCTAAATGACATTATAGTAATGGATAGACCTTAACCTCAATAAAGCAACTATTAACTAATTGAAAGGGAGGAGCCAAAGTTTTATGGAGACAAGGTTTATTCTGTGTACACTTACCTGCGTAAGTGTAATTTTACCGTACCTGTGTCTAACTTCTGCCATCTGCATATAAATTTGTGCCTCTTGGAGCTAAGATAATTTATGAATGACACGGAGGTCAGTTTAAGATACATAAAAACATCTGAGCGCAAAAGGGCCAACGAACCATATTGTTTGAGAAGTGGAAGCCCAAGTGTTGATGCGTGCAATAAACCTAACCCCCGGCCGGGTTTGAACCCGCGGTTCATAGAGTCTCAAAACTCCAGCCCGTCGTGTTAGCCACTAGACCACTAGCCACAATAAGATTCATCCAACTAGGTATATTTCTACACCATAGGAGGTTAGCACAGGCACCACTGTGACCACAAATGCAAGTTTTTACAGACGAATCTCCAGCTTCGTGGCCGTGACGAACTCTAGCTAAAGGGTCCCTTCACTGCATTTGTGGTCACAGTGGTGCCTGTGCTAACCTTCCTATGGGGGTTAGAAATATCCCTTTGTTGGATGAATCTTATGTGGCTAGCTGGTCTAGTGGGCAAACGCGACGGGCTGGAGTTTTGAGACTCTATGCGGGGGTTTTCAATCCCGGCCGGGTATGGCTTGTTTGCAATCTTTGTCATTACGATTTCTTGAGTCATGTTGACGGCAGTGAAGGGACTTGAGCTAGAGTTCGTCACGGCCACGCTAGCTGGAGATTCGTCTGTAAAAACTTGCATTTGTGGTCACAGTGGTGCCTGTGCTAACCTTCCTATGGTGTAGAAATATACCTAGTTGGATAAATCTTATTGTGGCTAGCTAGTCTAGTGGCTAACGCGACGGGCTGAAGTTTTGAGACTCTATGACCGCGGGTTCAACCCCGGGCCCGGGGGGTTTATGGTTTGTTTGAAATCGTGTCATTACGATTTTTGAGTCAGGCGTGCTATAATTTCTGTAAAGGAGCCATGGGCACTGACAACTACTAAACTACTAGCTGCACAAGCATACTGGTGGACGTGAATGGAGCTATTAACGTGCATAATTTGGGCAAGAAAAATGATGAGTAACAAAAGCATGTAAGTAACGTAAGGCTTAAAAGACGAAGCTGGGGGTTGTGATCTGTAGTACTTTGGGGGAGAGTTGCAAAGTTTTGGGTTTGCAGAGAAGTGTCGCTATTGCCTTACTTGACACTGATCGTTTATTTGATTAATTCAGAGGCTAGCTCCATTTTTTTGTGATCCATTTGAAGTGCTCATGAGTGCCATGAGGCACTTCTTTCAGAGACTCGATCGCTGATGCTAGGAAAATCAAATTTTTTTTCCTCATGCTAAGATTTTCACGTTATATGGAAAACCTGAGAGACCCTCTTTGATTCGTTCCGTAATTTTTCAAACACTCTTTTTGACACAGGATCAAATAAAAGCTTAAATAAAAATAAGTGCACCAAATTTCACTCTCATTCTTACCTTACTCTCAATCTTTTTCTTAAATATCAGTACAGGAAAAACAAGACTCTTTGCCATAAAGCGCTGAATTTTCCTACACAAATATAGAACATTCTTTGGCATATGAATGATAATAATAATAACGAAGACACTTTTTTTCTTTTCTCAGATTTGGTTGTGAGGAATGAGCACGACACCAGCGCCCATTGTCCTGGTCCTAGTGTCCGCCCTCCTGCTTACCTGCAACGTCTTCTGGCTCTACTCCTCAACCACACACACCCACAGAGGTGAGTCAAAGGCCCCTCCACATACACAACAAGACTAGTCCCAGAGCTAAGGGGATTGTCCTTCGAAGAAAGTTAAGGGGAAAATCGGTTTGACGACGCTGGGGGAAAAAGGAGGGGTCAGGGGAGACATGATAACGACATGTAAAATACTGTGAGGATCTGACAAGGTGGACAAAGACAGGATGTTCCAGAGATGGGACACTAAAAACAAGGGGTCACAATTGGAAGTGAAGACTCCTATGAATCAAAGGGATGTTAGGAAGTATTTCTTCAGTCATAGGAGTTGTCAGGAAGTGGAAATAGCCTAGAAAGTGGCGTAGTGGAGGCAGGAACCATAATAGTTTTAAGACGAGGTTTGAAAAAGCTCATGAAGCAGGGAGAGAGAAGACCTAGTAGCAATCAGTGAAGAGGCAGGGCCCAGGAGCTATGAATCAAACCCCTGCAACCAAAAATTTAGGTGAGCACAAATAGGTGAGTACACAGAAGTGAGTCTATGGCTCTTCTTTTTCTTGTAGGTTTTCTCCAGAAGATGACCCGACTTTGGTTCCCGGGTGCGGGGCGTCGTTCTCTTTCTTCAGTCATGTATGGACGTCTTACAGTGGCTTCTCAAATTAGAGGATATCATTGATATTCTCAGTCTTGCATTGGCTTCCCGAGGTGGAGAGGGTCGTTCGTCGTCTTCTGCTTCTTGCTTGTGTGAAGAACCCAAGAGGACTCCTGCTTACCTAGATAAGCAGGAGTCCTCTTGGGCTTCAGACGCTTGCGGGTCCCTACTGCTTGAGGTGGTCATCGGGGCATTCGCGGAGTACATCTCAGCGTGGGTAGAGCTGAGTCACTGGTACTGCAGGTTAGCATCTTGTTGCCCTGGAACATGCTGTCCCTCATTCTACAAAGAGAAGAAACAGGCTCCCCTTGATTTTTTTTTTAAGCTGATGGAAGAAGAGGGTGCAGTGAAGGGGAAGGAAGTGTTAAGGGTGTAAAGAAGGGAGTGAGAGAGCGGCGGGTCCCTGTCAGGAGATCTTGCAATATCTTCAGTGGGGAGGCAGGTGGGCCACGATGACTGGGAGTAGTCTCCAAGTCACGGATGGCCAGGTACTCCAGATGTGCCGCCTCGTTCTCCCAGGTGTGTCCCACTGGGGCCATCGGGAGGTGTTGCGGCAAATGGATGTCATTACAGGGCAGCCAGCAAGTAGTGCAGGAGGGTCCTTGTGGCCATCTGGTCGCACTGGTTGCAGAGCTCTTCTCTCACTAGCTTGATAAGCCGTTTGACAGTGGGGTACCCGAGGTGCAGGTGGTGGACGCTCACTCACAGCTTTCTGTCGAGCTTCCACATGTTCACCATTTCTGTCTCCAAGATTTGCCTGGGTTCGGCAGCGGGCGCTTGGCCACCCTGGTGGCCCACAGGTCCGTCTGCTTGCTGTTGCTTGGCGGCCCCGTCAGCCGCATCATTTCCAGGGATGCTGATGTGGCTCGGAATCCAGTTAGCATGGCTCTTCGTCCCCGGGCCGTGAGCGTCTTCAGGTCACTCCGGATGGCCATGATCAGGTGGATGTCTCTCGGCTCCCCATGCGTGATCGTCTGGATCACCAATCTGGAGTCAACATGGATGACTGGGGGGCACAGATGTTCTGTAAGCACATGTTGCAGGGCTCTCTGGATGGTATGGAGTTCTGCCTGGAGGATGGTACAATGGCCTGGGAGACGCCACTCGGCCGTCAGGGCATTGTGGACAACCCTGGCACCTGTGCAGCCCGCCTCTGGGTCTCTTGAGCCGTCGGTGTAGTACGTTGCACACCCAGGGTGCTCCCCTCTCGCAATGCTGGCCGCCGCAAAAAGCTGCAGGATGCGCTGTGGAAACTGGCGCTTGATACCTGGGAGGTGTGCCAGGTGGACTACCACCATCTCTGGCTTTCCGAGATGTGGCACTGTAGGTTGCCACAGGCTGGTCACAACCTCTTGGCCTCAAGGAGCGGCATGGGTAGGAGCTCCTTTGCCACTTCTGCAATCGACCACATCCATAGGTGGCCGAGGTGCACCGCTGGGTCGTGGCGCTGTTGGACCCGGAGGTCCTTCATCAGTTTTTCATTTCCAAGGAGCTAGAGGAACTTTGCCACCCTCCTGGCACGACAGCGCGTTTCTGCCCTTGAGGGGCTGAAGCTGGGTCTCGAAGTTCATCGTCACTGTCTGTCCTCCTTGGCACCCCCAGCATGACCCGTGCAGTGGTGTTCTGCACAATGCTGAGAAGCTGAATGTTTGAGGGACGGGTATGCACCAGTACAATTGCCCATAGTTCATGAGGGAGCATACGGCCTGCACACAGAACATCCTCAGGACCTCGTGGCAAATGGAAACACATTGCCTTGACTCTCTGCATAGCTCAACTCTCTGACATATGCTGCTTGCTTCCTGGAAAAGAGGCGGCTGTCGATATATATGCCCAGGTACTGGTAGCTGTAGACCCATTCCAGGTTGTCCCCAGGAATCTGAAACTTTTTGGCTGGTTCTTTGGCACAACAGGACTTCCCTACAGAACCCTCGGGGCCCAAAGTGGTGGCAGGTAGTGGCCAGCAGTTGAGGTCCCACTAAGTGCTTTGCATCGGGCAGTACTTTCAGGGATGTCAAACACCAAGTCATCGGCATAGCTGAGCAGGCAGGTGTCTGTGCAGAACAGTTACACCAGCTCATGAATCAGAACATTGAAGAGATTGGGGCTGAGAACCCCGCAAGCATGCCTGCCCTGGAGGTAGGAGTCTGCCGAGCAGCGTCCCGGGCCGGGCCCACTGCTCCCAGTGGTTCTGCCTTTTTGGGAAAACCCTTTTCCCGTTTGACCCAGCTGTTGGCTGCCCTGTTACGAGCCCGCGAGTGCCCCTGATGTCTTTGTTGAGGGCTCAGTGAGGGAAATCTCTGCTGTTTGGGCCCGCCGTGGGCTCCATGGTGCAGTTGTTGGTGCCCTTGATTTGGGTGCTGCTGGGGGGGGTCTTGGGATTGGACTGCATTGTGTCTGCCCTGCTGCCAGCACTGTGCTTTTCAAAGGGGAGATCTGGTTCCAGGCATGGTGCCTCTTCCCACAGTTGGCACACTTGGGGGTTCGGCTGTGGGGTTTCAGGGCTTTGGTTCTTGAGGATTGGGGATGCAGTTTTGGGAGTCGTGTCCCTTGCTGCACACTCCATATTTCTTCACATACTAGCAGATGGCTGCAGTGTGAATAAAGCCCTGACATTTGAAGCACTGAAGTGGGCCTGATGTGTACGGCCGGGTCTTGATCATCCCCATGGTCCAAGGACCAGGATGTGGGAGAGGTCCCTTTTTGGTGCATTTAACACCTGTCGGGTCGGCGCCTTGTTTACCTTGGGAGTAGCCGCCCTGCCCTGATGATATTGGGCACTGCGGTTCACTGGGAGAGGGATAGGGACATGCATGAGCACACCCTTGTGCACCTTTTTCATGACAATCAGCTTCACTATGTTGGTGTCAGTCAAAGACATACACTGGAGTTTGTCGTAGGTCTCTTTGTCCCTTGGGTTGACCAAGACTTCGTGCCAGAGGGTGAACTCGCAGCAGAATTTGAGGGCGGTCGTCTCTTCCAGGTTCTTCGCCACCTTGTACGTGGGAAATTTGAACTTGTTGAAGGGTCCGGTTGCTTGAGCTCGTGCGGACTGGGCGCTTCTCCTCCCATGTGGGGTCACCCATTTCCCCTCTTCGGTGGTGGCAGGCTCCTCTGGGCTGGGTTCCTGGGAAGTACCCAGTGCCATCTGCTGGGAGGTGGTCACAGTCCCCTGGCTCTCTTCCATATCCCCTGTTTCCACAGGGGCGGTTAGCTGTGAATCTCTGGTACGGTTGAGCCCTGATGGCCCAGCCTTTTCAGGTCTTCTAATGAAGCGGCCGTCACCTGCTTAGCCTCTTGCAAGTCAGCAGTTAAGGCGGCACCCTTGGCGCTTCTGCGATCCTTTGCCTTCTTGGGAGGGGCCTCCTCCTGCCCCATGCCGTTCAGGGCATTGTTATCGCATTCGAAAACTCGTTTAGGCCGTGTTTCTGGGCCTGACATAGTAGCATCATTAATTGGGAATGTACCAGCAGCACAGCTACTAGCTGCAGCTACACAGCAGCCTACACGGGGCTCGCAGCTGTGGGCCACAATTCCCAGGATAGAGTTCTCAGTTACCCTCAAAGGGGTCGCAGCTGTCGCATTAAACACAGAGAATTGGTTACTAATACTTCACTGCACCCGCACGAATGCGCACGAGCGCATTAGTCACCACATACTGTCGGGAACTCCACATAAGCGAACACAGTTCCCTCACAGGGGTAAAACCTGAGAATCGGACACCAACACGTCACTGTACAAATGCGCATAAACACCTCAGTCACGAGATACTGGCTCATCCACTACACCCACCGACAGAGGAGAGTCTGTGGCTCCTCTACAACACCCACCCCACAGAATTATGGCTCCTCCACTACATGCGCTCACAGACGTTTAGTCTCCTGCCCCTCCACCCCACACATGCTCACAGAGGTGAGTCTTTGTCTCCTCCACCACCCACATGCTCACAGATGTGAGTATCCTATTCCTCCACCACACACATGCTCACAGAGGTGAGTCTTTGGCTCCACCACACACATGCTCACAGAAGTGAATCTTTGGTTCCTCCAGTATACACTCACCGATCGTGAATCTATGGCTACACTGCACACACAGAGGTGACGCTATGATCATCCAGCACACCCACCCACAGAGATGAGATATGGCTCCTTCACCACACACACACCAAGAGATGAGTTTATTCCCTTCACCACACCGATCTCCAGAGGAGTCTTTGGTTTTTTTAACACCAAACCCCCCAACAAGGGTATTCCCTAGCTTCCCCCACTCGCCCGCCCATAATGGTGAGTCTTTCTGGCTCCTCCACCAAGCATACCTACAGAGGTGAGTCTGTGGTTCCTTCACCAGACACGCCCACAGAGGTGAGTTTCTGGCTGCACCACACACACCCATAAAG